GATGTAAGCTCCACTCCTCGGGCTGCAGGGATCTGAGCTAGACTACAACACCAAGACTTCACCAGCCAGTGCTGCTGTTAAATATATAATGTCCTAAACAATCCAAATGTATAACGCCTCAAGTTTGAGATTTAGCAAGTCAGTTCCCCCTTCAAAATCATTGGTTTCCAATTCTATGGGGACACAAGGCTAGCGGAGGGCCTGCCCATATGCCCACCTGAGACCTGAGACCTGAGACTTGTTCAGCCAAAGGGCAGCTGAGACCTGTTCAGCCATGGGCAGCTGGCTCACGAGTGAGCAGTCTCTTTTCCTCCCTCCCGTAGCTATGACATCGCCCTGCTGCGCCTGGCCCAGAGCGTTACCCTCAACAACTACGTCCAGCTGGGTGTTCTGCCACGGGAGGGAACCATCCTGGCTAACAACAGTCCCTGCTACATCACAGGCTGGGGCAGGACCAGAAGTAAGTCACCTACATAGGCACTGTCTACCACATGAATCTTGATTAGCTGAGCTTCTAGGGTACAATTTTCTGTGGTCCTAGGTATTCATAGCCAGAAGCCAAGAAACCACAAAGGAACCAGAGATAAAATAACTGAGACATGAAATCAAGCTAAGAACAGGCAATGGAATCAAGGCAGAGATTCATAGACTCTTATATCTCAAAAAACAACTCAACAGCAACAACAACAAAAAGCCACACTACTTAACTCAGTGTTATATACAAGCCTCTCATTTTATTTTATACATGAGGAAACTGAGGCCAAAGGAAATTAAACATTTTGTTCAAGATCACATTACTAGTTAGTAACTACTGATCTGGGGCTGGAACCCAGGTATTCTGGCTCCCACTTTGGTAGTCATTACACCATTGTGCTACCTCCATAGACAGTCACTGGGTTTTGGGTTGGGAGTGAATGAACCAGGGTAGCTGTAGGTCCAGAAAAGTCAATGCAGATGAAGCCTCCACCTTCTTCTGGTCATCATGGGAAGATTTCTGGTAGGGAATGTCATTCAGATAACATAAAAAGGTGGGAGAAGCTATGAGCAGAGACAGTTAAGAGGGGCAGAGACGTTAGGCCTGACATGGAAGTCTATGAGCCACCAGGCAGTATTTGAGCTCTGAAAGAGAGGCAAGGCCTTGCTATGAGCAGTCAGTCTCCTGGGAAAATATGGAGCTGAGAGACATACTTCTAATCTAGCTCTGCTCTCAGTTCACTTAATGTCATTATGGTTCAATTTCATGATCTTTAACATGAAAGGGTTGTAAGGATCCAAAGAAATAATTCATGTACAAAGGCTTTGAAAAATCAAAGAGCCAGATAAAGAAAAGTTGCACCAAGCTCTTAAGAAATGCAAACAAGGGTGCACAGTCCCATTTCTGCTTATAGGGTATACAATGTAAGGAAAAAACAGGACAGGTAGATAAATCATCAACAAAGGATTCTAGTTACTTTGCTAAGGTATCCATGAGGTATTTTTGTTTTTTGTTTTTAAAAAGGCAGGAGTAGGATTGCTTGTGGGTTGTTGTTTTTTTGAAATCTGTATTATTTGTGTGTTTTTAAATACATTTTTTATTGATTTCAGAGAGGAAGTGAGAGGGAGAGATAAATAGAAACATCAACGATGAGAGAGAATCATTGATTGGCTGCCTCCTGTATGCCCCCCACCAGGGATCGAGCCCGGACATTGAACCCCGGGACCCTTCAGTCCGCAGGCCAGTTCTATCCACTGAGCCAAACTGGCTAGGGCTAGGATTGGTTTTTTAGAACCCAGGAACAGCAGTTGTTTCCATATAAAGAGATAAAAAGGAGGATCTATGACATGCAGTGAGCAGAAAGAAGGAGCTTGCCTGGAGTTCAGCTTTCATCAGAGCTTGGGAAGGTTTGGGAGAATGTGGAAAGTTTTTTCCCTTGGATAGTTTCTGGGGCTGATCTCCAATGCTGTGTGTCCTGTTTAGCCAATGGACAGCTGGCCCAGACCCTGCAGCAGGCTTACCTGCCCACTGTGGACTACGCCACCTGCTCCAGCTCCTCCTACTGGGGCTCCACTGTGAAGAACACCATGGTGTGCGCCGGAGGAGATGGAGCTCGCTCTGGATGCCAGGTGAACACTTGTAGAAAGAGTCTAAAATCCCACCCCAGATCTCTCCCCTCTCTGCCTACCACTTCCCACCTTTTCCTTACCCGCTATGCCACATTTACACCCCATGTACAGATACAACTTTCTACTCTGGTTTCTGCATGAGAATGATTCTTTGCTAGTAACTCTATGCTCACAGGATCTCAAAGTTGAAAAAAATCTTAAAAATGCATCTTGCCTAGAGCCCCCACCTCAAAAGCTTGTATGTGGTCTAATATTTGTGTTGGTATATGTTCTTTAGAATTTGTTCATGACCTAGACTTTTTATGGATGCAGTGGGGCTAAGCCTGGAGTGATGGTTGTAATTTTGTATAAGGTAGCTCCCTTTAGAGGAGCTACAAAAATGATCAATCTGTTGATCAATGATCAATAGCTCCTCTATTTCCACTCTTTTACCTCACTAGTACTTACTTATAGCCATACATATGGGTGGATATAGTAGGGGAAAGTGCACAAATGGTTTTATAATAGTATAAATAAAACAGAATTTTCTCTTTAGACACAATGAATCAGCAATACACCATCTTACAGGTTTCTTAATGCAATTCAACAAATGGTCTTGATTAGCTACTAAATAAAATACCAGCTACTGTGCATTTATGCTAGGGATACAAAGATAAACACAGTGGAGAAATGATAAGAGCAGACATATGAGAGAACATCCTATATAATAAAAGGCTAATATGCAAATCGACCAAACAGCAGAGCAACTAGTCGCTATGATGTGAACTGACCACCAGGGGCAGACGCTCAATGCAGGAGCTGCCCCCTGGTGGTCAGTGTGCTCCCACAGGGGGAGCGCCACTCAGCCAGAAGTCCTGAGCTGGGCTGGCGAGCACAGTGCCAGTGGTGGGAACCTCTCCCACCTCTGTACCAGCGCTAAGGATGTCCAATTGCTGGCTTAGGCCTGCTCCCCACTGTCAGTCAGACATCCCCTGAGGGCTGCCAGACTTCGAGAGGGTGCAGGCCTTGCTGAGGGCCCCCCTCCCCCAAGTGCATGATTTTCATGCACCAGGCCTCTAGTTGTAATATAATATGGTTAAGTGTTTACAATAAAGATATGCACCAGGTGGTAGAGAAGTCCAAAAAATAGGTACTTACCTCTATCTGTTGGGGTCTGAAAAGACTTGCCTTCTCTGAGAAAATGGAATCTGCAGTGAGTCCTGAAAGTTAAACAGGAGAAGGAGGGAAAGACATTCAGGGAGAGGTATAGCATGAAGAAAGGCATGGACCAAGAGCCTAGGTAGGACACATACAGAATTTAGGGTGTTCCCTACAGCTATCTGGAGCAGAGGTCGAAGCCCACAAGCCTCCAAATCCAGTCTGATGCCTGTTTTTGTTTGGCCCTTGAGCTAAGAATGGTTTTTACATTTTTAAATGGTTGGGGAGGGAATAACAGAATATGTCATGACACGTGAAAAATATAAAATTTCAATGTTCATAAAAATATTTTATTGGAAAACAGTATAGTTGCTTCTTGTATATTGTTTATGGCTGCTTTTACAGAATTGAGTAGTTGTGGCAGAGCCTGCAGAGCCTAAGATATTTACTATTGGCCGTTAACAGAAAAAAGTTTGCTGACTCCTTGAGCTAGAGCATAAACTATTACCATACTAGGGAATGTCAGGAGATGACACTAGGGGCAAGTCGGAGCCACATGACGTAGGGCTTTAAATGTCATGCTTGGGGGACATGAACTTTATCACTTAGGTACTGGGAAATTATCGAAGAGTTTCAAACAGGAGAACAGCATGATCAGATTTGCCTTTTAGAAGCACTCTCTGATGACAAATGATCATGTTTTTGAAGAGGACAAGATTAGCAGGGAGATCGGTTAGGAGACTATTGTAATTATCCAGGCAAGAAATTTGAGGGTCTGAATTAGGGCAGCGGAGAAGAGGGAAGGAGGAGGATATGGGATGCATTACAGGCATTTGGCTTAAGTAATTTGGGAGAGAGGTTTGCTCCCTCAAAATGAGACAAGATTTATAGGATTTGAGAGGAAAGGTGATGAGTTTAGTTCTGGATACGTTGAGTCTGAGATCCCTGTGGGATATTCAGGTATAGTTAACTGGTAAGAAATTAGATATAAAGAAAGCGGAACCTGGGTGAGAGAGCTGGGCTAGAGATACCCCTAGCAGCAACTGAGACACTCCCACCCCACCTCTCAGCCCCAAGGAAACCACTAGAAAAAGAGCAGTGACTTAGCAGAACTGCAATAACATGAATACTAGAGTGCTTCAGGGAGATATGTGAAAAACAAAGAACCCATAAATATCTAAGAGGGACTAGTGGCAAGTGAAAAATAAGAGTTTTATTAAATCTTAAAAAATATGGATAGGTCATCACATAATAAACAGTGCAGCCAGAGCCACAGTAGATAACTGAAAGTGACTGTTTGGCAATGGGTGAGTCACTGGCAACTATGGCAAGAACAGTTCCAGTGGAGTGGTGATGGCAGAAGCTAAAGGGTAAGGAAGAAGAGGCAATAAAAACATAGCGAGGGCCCAGCCAGTGTGAGTCAGTGGTTGACCAGGAGGTCACGGTTCAATTCCCAGTCAGGGCACATGCCCAGGTTGTGGGCCTGATCCCCAGTAGGAGGGCGTGCAAGAGGCAGCCAATTGCTGATTCTCTCTCATCATTGATGTTTCTATCTCTCTCTCCCTTCCTCTCTCTGAAGTCAATAAAAACATATAAAAATATTTTTTAAAAAAACATAACAAGGAAATGTAGAACCCTCTTTCAATAACCTTGGGTGAAAGAGAGGAACACAAAAAAGTCTGGTAGCTTTAAGAGGGATGAGAAGTCAAGAAGGAGATGGACCGTTTAAGAGGGAAGAAAATTAAGTATGTTAAAAAGGCAGAAAGAAAAGGATCCTATAGAGTCAAAGAGAGGGAATGAATGGATAGCATAAGATCCCAGTGGAAACAGAAAAGATGGAACCAAGAGCACAGGTGGAGCTGGCTTTGGGCAGGGAGAGGGATGCCAAAATGTGCATAAACGTGAGTGTGCATGCTGGGTACGTGGAAGTTGACAGGTGTTCTGCATTATTGTTTCTATTTACTCATGAACTAGGCGTCAAACTGGATGTTGAAACTGAAGAGGAAAGGACTGTATGGGTCTGGATTAATTAAAGTGAATGGGAGAAGGATTGGCCTCCAAAATATTACTGATAGGCTGCGGTTAGAGATTACACAATAACCATTCAAATATCCAGCTGTAGAGAATGGATTAATCCAGGACTAAGTTTTCCTGCATTACTGGGCAAAAGGCAAGGCTGCAAATCAAATGCAAGGTGCGAGCTAGGTGAAGGAGGAAGAGAAGCCAGCAGGAGGCTGGTAGGCTGGCTGAAATAACAGAAGCAAAGATTGCTTTTTTTGTGAGCACTTAGTAGTACTATGGAAGTAAGGTGACCAAATCATCCTAGTTTTCCCAGGACTTTTCCAGTGTTAAAACTTAAGAGTCCTGTATCCTAGGAACCTTACATGCAAGGAGGGGCATAAAAAGAAACTATGACAACCTCTCAGGTCCTCCTCAGCCAGCTTTACCTGTAACCTCTTAAGGTTTAACCTTTTTGAGTTAATTCACTTCCCAGGGTCTTTTTTAAAATGTATCTATCTATCTATATATAAAAGCTCAGTGACCAGAACGACTGGTCGCTATGATGCGCACTGACCACCAGGGAGCAAACCCTCACCACAGGAGCTGCCCCCTGGTGGTCAGTGCGCTCCCACAGCAGGAGCACAGCTCAGCCAGAACCTGGGCTCACGGCTGGCGAGCGCAACGGGGGTGGCTGGAGCCTCCCCCACTTCCATGGCAGTGCTAAGGAGCCACAAGGAGCAAGCAGGGAGGTGGTTAGGAGTGAGCAGGCGGGCATATAGGAGCAAGGGGTCCCAGATTGCGAGAGGGATGTCCGACTGCTGGTTTAAGCCTGATTGGCTGGTTTAGGCCGTCAGACATCCCCCAAGGGGTCCCAGATTGCGAGAGGGATGTCCGACTGCTGGTTTAAGCCTGATTGGCTGGTTTAGGCCGTCAGACATCCCCCAAGGGGTCCCAGATTGCGAGAGGGATGTCCGACTGCTGGTTTAAGCCTGATTGGCTGGTTTAGGCCGTCAGACATCCCCCAAGGGGTCCCAGATTGCGAGAGGGTGCAGGCCGGACTGAGAGACACCACCCCCCCCCAACCCTGTGCACGAATTTCATTTTTTAAATAATAGAAATATTTTTCAAATAATAGAAATATCTCTTTAGTCTCCTTTATTGTCCCTTAATTTTTTTTACTGTATTTTTTTGTCTTTCATTACATTGATATTTTTGAAGAGTCCAATTGTCCATAATCAGTTTCAAAGAGAGGTAGCCAAGGGGATCACCCAGCTTTAGGGCTCAGGAACTGACACAACTTAAGATGTTATCCAGGGGGTTAGCCAGGGGCTTAACCTTGTGACTTTTAGTCAAAACTGGGTTATTGTCTTCTGCTGCTTGGAGGTCAACAATTACCCAAGGTGAGAAACCAAGGTCAGGTCAGTGAAATATAGGTTCTAGAGGCTGGGAGTCCAATCAAGGTGTCAGCAGGTTTGATTTCTTCTTGGGCCTTTCTCCTTCGTTATCAATCAGATGGTGACCTTGCTGAGTCCTCATATGGTCTTTTCTCATCCGTGGTGTTCTCTGTGTGTCCAAATTTCTTCTCTCCCAGGGTCTTGAATTCTGAAAAAACTAGAGTACTTCTCTTCTGGTTGCCACTCCAAATTGACAATTCTTTAAGATAATTATGTCTTTGGGTCCCTTCCCACTGGGCTTTTCCAAATAGCGTGCTCTCTAGGTTTTCAGACTTCTGTGTTCCCAACCTCTTTTCCTGAGAGTGAATTCATTGAGCTTCTCTGACCTCGATCCACATACTCCCACTGAGTTCTTGTCAATCTCTTCCTTCTGTCCTAATCCTCAGCCATGCCCTCCATCTCTCCAGAGCCTTTGTTTCTTTTCAGATCAATTAGCATAAGACAATTGTATTACATATAATTCAATTAATTTCCTATCCTATAGCCCAGAAGTACTCTCCAATCCCTATTAGAATTTGGATAGAAGAGGTTTAGATTGTTTTGTTTGTTTTGAGTACAATAATCTAAAAACATTTACTTTGCCTAAACATTAGTTCATGTGGGATACAGCTAGATCTTTGGTCCCTTCGTGATCATGGTATCTCCCCTGCCAGGTAAGTATTATTCAGATTTTTAATAAGCAATATTTAACCACATTTGCCTTCCTTCCCCTCCCGTCCTTCCTTCCTTCCCTCCTTCCTCCGCCTCCTCCTCCTCCTCCTCCTCCTTCTTCTTCGCTTTAATTTTTTATTGAAACTATACATATTAAATTGCTTAAGGTGGCAAATAAAACTATGAGGCTTAATAATGGAAAAGAATAGTCACTGTGTTCCTTCTACCCCTTGAGCTCTTGCTCCCTAAAAGGAACTGCTTTCAACTCTTTTCAGCTGACTTTTGGTTTCTACTTCCATACCTCTCTAAATATATATATAGTTATATTGTACTTAATTTATCAGTTCAGGCATTATGAGAGATGTGGATATCTCTTCCTTTTACACATTTTTACTTGCCCCCAAGCATAAACTTTTTCCATCACCACCTCAAACTCCAAAAATAATTTGTATTAGATTAACATTTAATGTTTGTTATAATTATGTAAAATGTGATGCACTACCAAACCAGGTATTCTGGGGTTAATTTTCATTTCCTGCATAACTTTGTTTTCCCTGGAAAATAATAATACTTTTTTATTTGCATAACATGTACTCAACTTATTGCTAATTCAACCCCATACTCTCAATTAATTTGTAAGCGACCTATTTTATCTTCTCTTGTCCATAGTGGTCTGTGTCTTGGTATGGGTCTATTTGCATTCATCATGAGGGACACTTACTACCTTTTTTTCATTCTGGAAACTCCAGAGCTTTGTTTCTGAAAACATGTATTGTTGATATGTCCTCCCCTCCATTTTTATTTTCTCTTTCTAGAATTTGTTATTCATAAGTTTACCTCCTAAACTGGTCCTCTTATTTTCTCTATATTTTGTTTGTTTGTTCTACCTTATCTTCCAATACTTCCAATATTTCATTTCTATTATCATACTCATAATTTCCAAAGGCTCTTTTTATTTTTAAATGTTCTGTTAACAGCATGCTGTTCTTGTATCATGGATGCAATATTAATCATAGTTTTATTGCTTGTTTTCTTCTCCCTGCATAATCTTAGTTGCCTTCATTTTTTGTTTGTTTATTCCTTTGTCTCTTTCTTTGATCTTTATTTTTATATTAGAGGCTTTCTTCAAATGTTTGGTAATCCTTGACCATCTGCTCTTACTTTAGAGTGGGGTGGTTAAGAAGTGGATAGGTAGCTCTGAATCTTAGGTGGTGTTTATCCATAGTGAACTACTTTGTCAGGTGATCTGGCTAAGCTATTTCATTGGGGGACTTTCAATGACAGTATCTTTAGGTCTGTTCTCTTGTGCTGGTCAGATTCTCCCAAGAAATGCCTTCCAATTTTTATGTCCGTTATTATAGAACTGGCATTCTTTGAACTAAGAAGAAGCATGTCAAGGTTATATTCTATAAACCCAGGTTCTTGATTCCAAGTCTGAGCATGTAACCACTACCCAATACATTATTTCTCTCCTCTTTACCCCAGTTTAGTTTAACATGCATTGACTACCTATCCTGTGTTTAAATGTTAAGTCTAATTAGACTCATTGGTCTAAATGCCGGGGATAAAGAAATCATTAGAACACCCTACTTCTCCCATCCCGGGTTCAATTTAAGTCAATAAAAAACTATTAAACTTGTAGCTGTTCAAAGTTCTGTGTCAGCAATGTAGAAAGGAAAATTATCATCAAAACATAGCTCCTGTCTCAAGCTCTTAGCTATGCGTGGGAGGTAGAAACAAATTATGAAACCAAAATGCAAGGCAGAACATGACATAAATAATGCAAAAGAAAGGAAGAAGTACTGTGGTCGTTTAGAAAGGAAGAAGAGATTCATCTTGATTGTGGGATTATGAAGCAAGTGGGGAGTTGAACTGGAGTTTTAAAACTGTACAGAATTTTACAGAGATGGGGGTGGGCAGGGTGTAAGCAAAAGCCAAGGCCCAAAGATCAAAATATCTGGAATTTCAGGACTCTGCTTTTATTTCCTGCAGGGTGATTCTGGAGGCCCCCTCCACTGCTTGGTGAATGGTCAGTACACTGTCCATGGAGTGACCAGCTTTGTGTCCAGCCAGGGCTGTAATGTCTCCAGGAAGCCCACCGTCTTCACCCGGGTCTCTGCTTACATCTCTTGGATGAATAACGTGAGTCCTCTCAAATAATGGGTTGAAATAGGGTCACCTGGAGGCCTGTGCCTGGCTGGGTTGGAGAGCAAAGGTTGGTCAGGAGAAACCATCATTTTCCTCACCACATTGATACGTTTACTCCTTTCCCTTCCCCCCATAGTGCACTTTCCCTCAATAATGATACCACCCTGAGTTCCCCTTCACATACCCACTAAGCAGGCTTCACCATATTGTTTACTGCTTAGGGTAAGATGGTGGTAACAACAGATCTGAACCAGGCATTTATCACTGCTGTCCTAAGTTAAAGTCAAAGAAAAACAGCTTCAGAAAGCCTGCATTCTCCTGGGCAAGGGAAGAGGCACTAACAATCTCCCCCATTATGAGAATTTGCTCTACCCCTTGGAAAGAGGTTTTACCACTTTAAACAATTTTTGAGAGTTAGATGAGACTCTACTGATACTGACTTATTGGGAGAGCCTCACAGTCGTCTCACCTGTGCCTTGCAGCCTTCTAACTCATTCTGGAGTCTTGTGGTATGAACATTAACTCACAACCATTGCAAAGTCTGTCCTTGCCACTAAATCTGGATATCTATGTATATAAAAGGCTAGTGTCCATCTGACTGGTAGCTATGATGCACACTGACCACCAGGGGGCAGATGCTCAATGCAGGAGCTGGAGCTGCCATGATGTGCACTGGCTATTTAAAAATAAATGGCACGTGGACCTGGCACTGACAAACCAACACTGGGCTTCGCTCAATGGGACACAGTCCCTGCCACCACCCTGGAGCAACACCCCAGCAAATCGCAGCCAACACTACTGAGACCCCATGGTGCAAAATGCAGCCCACAGCCGCGGCCCAGAAACAGTCGCTGTGGGTGCTGGGTAATGATGTCACATAGCAACGCTCAGTTTCCTCTCCCTAGTGACTAACCTTCTTGGAGTTTTTTCGGCCCAGGAACACGACTTGCTTTATAGCCAGGTGCAAACATTTTACACTTTAACCAAATGTTTGTGAAGCGTTTTCACATGCCTCATCTCATTTGATCCTTACAGAAGTCCCGGAGTAGGTAGATAGGAGACTCGGTAGAGTCCTATTTTCTTTTCATTAGCTGGAAAATGGAGATTTAGAAAGTGTAGAAACTTGACCCAACTGAAAACATATAAAGCTCTCGCTGGTGCCAATCACACACGTGTGTTTTGATCTGTCATTGTCGATCATGAATTTGGTTGACACCTCTATTAGAGAAAGGGCAAATAGCGATATTAAAATATTCTAATTAATTTCCTTTCAATGTGCACGAATCCGTGCACCAAGACACTAGTATGTCCATAACATTGAATTGTCTTGACACAGCTGCAACATACTTCCTGCCCTACAACCTCTTATCTCCCTATAAACCCAGCATAGGGTTATATGCAAGTAGGAACCCTGAAGGAAAAAGAAAGGATGTAGGCAGAAATAACTAACTGTGGATATAACTTGCTTTTCCTTCAGGTCATTGCCAACAACTGAACATCTTCCTAAGTACAACAGCCATGCCAAGATAATTCTTTAATTCGCAGCAGGACTTGAGGCCATCAAGAAAAAAACATTCTAGGAGACTATTGAACCAGATACAGAAATGCAAATAAAACTGCATACACATTACCAACCTGTGTCTTTTTATTTATAATTAAGCTTTCTAGAAAAATGCAGTTATAGGTCCCAAGTCGGATTTCACCACATTTCTCGGCTGGTTCTTCCATTTGCTGCCACCTCTATCAGTTCACAAACTAAGCCAAGTGGGAGTGGTTTTATATTATCCTTTTTAAATTATCTTAGGATCTTCCAATCCATTAACCTACTCATCTGCCCTCCTCCAATGCATGTTTTCTATATACAAAGTCACAAAGTACTTTTAAATGTTCCTGAGTGACAAAATGTGTTCTGATCTTCCAGGTACACTGTAGGCTCCTTCTTCTTTTGTCTCCCCCTTCAGTGCCTAGAACAAGTGCTCACCCCAAGGTTCTGGGTGGTGGCAACTTCATACAAGGATACACTAGAGACAGGAGTATAGGATTAGGTGGTAGGTCAGATGCCAGCAAAGAAAGTGGCAAATTAGAAAGAAAGCCTAGGAAGTAAAGGAGTAGAAAAAAGGAGAAAAGAAAATGTTGAACAAAGAAAATAAAGATTTAAGGGGAAGAGGCAGAACAAAAAGGGAGAGGCCTCACATGAGCCATGGCCACAGCCACATCCTCAAGCACCAGAAGCACTTGGGAGGCTGGGGTAATGCTGGTGGCTTGTAACATTGCAGGATCAACTTGGACAACTATCACCCAGGTTACTAGGGTAAAGTCGATATGAGGAATTACCTCTTAAAGAGGAACCAGAGCTTCTGCCCAACTGTCAACCTTGATAAACTATGGACCCGGGTAAGTGAGCAGACACAGGTAGGTAGAAGCTGCCAAAAACAAGACTGAAGCTCTTCCTATCACTGATGTGGTGTGATCGGCTACTACAAAGTTCTGGGGAAGGGAAAGCTCCCAAAGCAGCCTGTCATCATGAAGGCCATATATTTCAGCAGAAGAGTCGAGGAGAAGATTAAGGGTGTTGCGGTTCCGGTAGCTTTAAGCCACATACTAGTAGAGAGAAGTTCACTAAATGCTCACAAGCGCTTTTCAAAAAAAAAAAAAATTATATATATCCTCAAACTAAGTATGAGTTAGCACTTCAAGGCTGAGACTAAAATAGGCAACCTGACCCAGGGTTCTATAAACCACAGAGAACTGGGAAGCTGATAATTTGCCTCATCCTGGCCAGGGCTCAGGCTGTTGGAGTGGTCTACCATAGATTGAAGAGTAAGCTGAGAGGAGAAGGCCAAGAGGAAGAGAAGCAGCAACCTTTTATTTTTTTAAGTCATTTTAAATTTTTGTTGGCTGATAAAAAACTGCCACACTTCCTTCCCACCTCATGCTGCTATTCCTGAATTTAATTTGCAAAGGGAAGCAGAGACTAACAATTTTATTTAACAAAATGTAAACTAGTGGTGGGGATATGCTTATGGTTAGAAAATAAAATTTATCTCTCACAGAAAATGTTTTTTCTTACATCATATTTTAAAATACAGTTTTGTTTTCCATTTAGGAACTGTGAAAAACACGTATTTAAAATGTTGTTGGCCCTGGCCAGTGTGGCTCAGTTAGTTGGAGCATTGTTTTGTACACCAAAAGTTGGCAAGTGCCCATACCTAGGTTGCAGGTTTGATCCCAGGTCGTGGCACGTGTAGGAGGTAACAGATCATTGTTTCTCTCTCTCTCTCTTTCTCTCTCTCTCTCTCTCTCTCTCTCTCTCTCTCTCAAACAAATAGAAAGCATGTCTTTGGATGAAGATTAAAATGTCTTTGGAAGGATGCCCCATTTTGCAATGTATGCTCTCCTAGATTCTTTCGGGCTACAGATGTTGAGAGGTATCCCATGTCCATGTTCTCATTTCCTATGTCGATGATGCCTGGCAGAGCCTTCCATTATTCAGCTTTCTGACATCTTATCAAGAATTGATAGAGGGGCAAGAATTCTTGCCCGATTTGTTTCTACAATGCAGCCATTTAATATCTTCTCATCCAAAATAAGGTGTATATTATCCAAATTAAACATTATATCTAATTCACTCACTTGGCTGGTACTCATCTAAAATTTCCACATAGTTATGGGTGAATTCATAAATCGCCATCTCATCCTTGGTGTCATTAATTCCAACCACAATGAAGAGAGCTGCATACTGCTGATATACCAGGTTAAAATCCTTATATTCAGTGAAAGAGCACTGTGGGGCTCAGGGTGGTGTTGGTCCTTCCCATGGTTTTTCCTAGAATCCTCCTTCCCCTTCCTCACAGAAGCTAGTTCCTCAAACTTCACTGCGGGGCTTCTTGGGGCACCCATTTTGAGAAGCCACTTTCTATAGCAGTTACTGAGGACCAGACAAGAGGGACCAGGGTAATTAACATTATAGCAGGAGAAACGGCTAAGACAGGTCCTGGAACTTGTAGGCTACTATGTCAGCAGAGGTCTCCAGAACAGTGTATACACTGTAAGAAGCTGGGCTGGGATCAGGATGCTTATATTCCCAATCTCAGTTCCACACTGAAGGATGGGTAACCTTGGGCAAGCCACCAGCCCTTTCTGTGACTCAACTTCCCTATCTAGTTAACGTCTAAAGATTGTCTGTGCTCTAATATTACATGATTTGGTGACCACCAATTTCAGTTCCCAAGAGATTAGCTCTGAAGAGAGTTTCTTGGGAGGCAGTGGCTGGACTGCACTGCTGCGGATGCTGCAGATTCCTGAGATGACACAGGTATTAGCCTCTTTCTGCCATTGACACACCTGTTATCATCACCATCTTCTCTCAGGTGTCCCCACAACACCACCATTCTCTGGGCTTCTCCCCCACGTCTCCCCATCCAACATCAAGTCCTTCCATTTTCTTCATTCTAGACCAGCCGTGGGCAAACTATGGCCCGCGGGCCAGATCCGGCCCGTTTGAAATGAATAAAACTATTGAAAAAAAAGACCGTACCCTTTTATGTAATGATGTTTACTTTGAATTTATATTAGTTCACACAAACACTCCATCCATGCTTTTGTTCCAGCCCTCCGGTCCAGTTTAAGAACCCATTGTGGCCCTCGAGTCAAAAAGTTTGCCCACCCCTGTTCTAGACCATCCTCACAACTAACACTGAGAATGAATTCTATTGATCTATTACCTAATTGATAGAGGGGCAAGAATTCTTGCCCGATTTGTTTCTACAATGCAGCCATTTAATATCTTCTCATCCAAAATAAGGTATATATTATCCAAATTAAACATTATATCTAATTCACTCACTTGGCTGGTACTCATCTAATATTGGTTCTAGTTCTATAAATGAATAACATCCTATATAATAAAGAGGTAATATGCAAATTGACCATCACACCCTCGCACAAGATGGCCACCCCCATGTGGTCAAAGATGGCCGGCAGGGGAGGGCAGTTAGGGGCGACCAGGCCAGCAGGGGAGGGCAGTTGGGGGCAACCAGGCCAGCAGGGGAGGGCAGTTAGGGGTGACCGGGCTGGCAGGGGAGGGCAGTTGGGGGTGATCAGGCTGGCAGGGGAGCAGTTGAAAGCCAGCAGTCCCGGATTGTGAGAGGGATGTCCGACTGCTGGTTTAAGGGATCAGGCAGTCGGACTTCCCCTGAGGGGTCCCAGATTGGAGAGGGTGCAGGCTGGGCTAAGGGACACCCTTCTCCCCCAGTGCATGAATTTTGTGCACCAGGCCTTTAGTATATAACATAACATTATGATCATCTGATTACCAACCTTTCTCCATCTGTCGACATGAAGCATCTGAGGTTAAAGATCAAATGTTTTTCATTCATCTTTGGCTTCCCAACACTCAGCAATGCTAGTCACATGGTTGATCCTCAGAGTAGTACATCCGCTTTGGGGCATGACCTTGGAAAACAATAGACAAGGGCCTCTAATTTTGTCCCAGGCCTCCAATTTCCCTCTCCAATCCTTAGAAAGTGGTATTTTGACCCTCTTCCCTCCCTTAAGGGAATTTTATCTGCACTGAAAAATCCTTGAGTAAATGGTTCCTCCAAATCTAGTGTCCTAATTTTCAGCTATCCCCTCCAACAGGTCAGAGAGTAACTTCCTGTTGGAGACCTACATAGAGAAGCAACCGTTGTAAAAGCAGCGGTCCCACCCCAACTTTCACAATCTGTGTCTGTCTTCACATTCTGCTTCCTTCTAGTTACATTGAACTAGTTTATCAAGCTGGAAAGATTTGCTCTCCATCCCCAGCACAGGCTTCCATACGCTCCTCCTCATTCTTCTTTCAATAAGATCCTCTCCTTCCCTAAGCACCTCCATTTCTGTCTCTACCTCAGTTGTTCCTCCCTTTCAAATTCAGGTGTGGACTCTGTCCCTACCAGTTCTAGCCTTAGAGCCAGCCCCTCTGTTGGAGGCTTTCCATCTTTAGAATAGGTAACCTGACATAAGAAAGTACATGTTACTTGGCCACCCAGTAGACATACCCGTATAAATGAAAGGCGCTTTCCCAAACAATAAATACTCTCGCTGAGTGAAAAACCACAATATTTCCCACCCCATTGTTTCCTCCTTATTTTCCTGAGCCAGTAGTTGTAGCCAATTGGCCCCCATTGGAAAACTGTTCAGGGGCGGGTGTTCCCATTCCTTAGGCCTTAGGGCTGGAGATCTTTGAAGTTGGTCCTGAGTGAGCACTGCCTGAGGGCAGCCGAGTTTCTGGCCTCTTCCCAGCAGGCCCAGCCTCTGCCTTGAGCTCCACAGTCCCCACTTGGCCCCTCACCTGCTGCTCTGGGCCGCACCTCACTCCCCCACACCACCCCCCGCCCCTCCCGGTGCTGGGTGGCAGGGAGGGCTTCAGGGTTCAGGGTGGCCGCTGTGTGGGCCCAGGCTCGCTGAACTGGAGTTTGGGTGGCCTCGGGTGGTCTTGGGGTGACCTCGGGGTGGTCCTGAGGGGCCTCAGGACCACCCGAGGTCCCCCAAGACCACCCGAGGCCCCTCAGGACCGCCCGAGGTCCCCCAAGACCACCCGAGGCCCCTCAGGACCGCCCGAGGTCCCCCAAGACCACCCGAGGCCCCTCA